ATAATTTCATCACTTGAATTGCCCCAGAGAATTTCCATAAATTCCACTTCTTTCTAGTTCCACCTTGTCTAACTCGTCCACAATGGGGCCAAGTGAGAATCGTCTATGCACAGTTATCACCTTGTCGAGAAAAGCAAAAAGAAAGGGTAGCCAAGAGCATAGTCATTTCATATCAGGCTGGATTTTCTTTATCCTGTCGGGGCATAAGTCAAGGCTTATTTTTGCGATGAATGTATTATCAAAGGCCATGAGGAGAAAAAAGATCTACCCTCATGTTTCACTGGTTTGTCCAAATGTTAACTCCCCTTTGTTTTCTTGGAGCTGCAGTCATTCTGCAAAGCCGAGGAGTGAAGCCTCCTCAGGTTATGCAAGCGGAATTGAATTCTCCCCTGTAATTTATTTTACAATATGGAACACCAAATCCCCCTAGAGAGGACTCTTTTTTGACTATTCATTTTTTTTCCCCATGGTGACTCTCCATACCTGCTGCTTTTTTCTCTATAGCATTGCTGCAAAGTATTGCACTTTATGTAAAACCACACAGAAAAAAAAAAGGAAGTAGAAAATAAATCATGTATCATCCACTATCAAAAGATCGTCACTATATTCAGTATTTTTCAAATTTTCAAGAATATAGATATACTTCCTTTATGATAAAAAAAAATTCAAACCCTGGTTGCTTTTGTCCTTGAAATAGTTTCCTTTGACCTTGGGGTAGCCATATGTCAAGTTCCACAGAATCTTTCTATAAAAGTCTCATGTTTGTTTTTGGTTGTTGTTGAACTCCTGACTCTCAGACAGTGCTCCCGATTAGTTAGAGACGATAAGCAACTAGTTTAGTGTTGCTATCTTTGCCCAGCCTCCTGGGGACTCCATGGAGGAGCCATGTTGGCAAAGACTTCAAGCTGGCTCTTCAGAGGGGCCAATATATATAAAAAGAGGAAAGATAGAATTCTTGTAAAAAATTTTTTAAAAATCGCCTGACCCAACCAACAGGTTATTCCATTTTAAATTAATTAGTCGTCAGGTTACTCAATAAGGATAAGGGGCATGCTCTCTAGTATCACAGTGCTTTTGCTGTTCTTCCAGAATCCACCTGCCTGGGTTTATTTCTCGTGTGTTATCTACTGCTGGGTGTAAATAAGCATTAAGTTATAAAGCCATATGGACCTGTTTCACCAAACACTGGTGTATTGACCCAGGATTTTCTTGTTCTTGTTGTAAACTGAAAGGAGGCAAAGTAGCCTTGATCTTTTAAATCTTAAGTACCTGAAATGGTTTCTAGATCAGAATATAGTAGTCAGAGATGCTTTGGCTTAAGCATGCCAAGAACAATGTTTTCCCATTAAGAAAGAGGGGGGAAAAAGCTGTTTGGGAGATCAGTAGAGCAAAATGTTCTTTTCCTAGAACGTGCATTTATCAAAGTGATGACTCATTAATGGACTGCCACAGTGAGATGAGTTACATCATCCCAAAATTATTCCTTAGAAAGTTGGGCAGGAAGTAGCCCATCTTTTCTCAACTCTCATCACCAAAAGACGTTAGCTCCTTTTTGTTTGCTTGAAGCTGCAGTAATTCCGCAAAGCCAGTAAAACTGGCAGGCTTTCTTTTCTCCTTAGGTTTTGCAAGCAAAACTGCATTCTCTCCCGCAACTCCTTTTCGAATATGGAACACCAATTTCCCTAAAGAGATTCTAAAACCCAGTCTCTTTTGTCTAGTACCTGAGCCCGCTTAGCAATGAATTCCCCTTTCTCCTCCACAATGCCTATTTCTTCATGGTTCATTGCTCTTTTTCTGCAGCAGCCGGCCTTGGGCATTCTTGTTTAAAACTCCTATCATACCAGAGTGGAAATGATGTTTTACCAGATGCCTGGTTGACTTTCTTTTTAGGAGTTGGAAAGCAGGGGAAAAGTATGAACGGGTTAGGCAAGGCCCAGCAGCCTCCCAGAAGGACATGGCAAATGGCTCTTCACTTGTTGCTAGGGACTTGACAGATGAGGCAGAGGAGACGTTTTGTTAAAGGAATATGCACGTAAGCTATAGTTAATAACACAATGCCCTCAGGGCAGTGATCTCTAATCCCTTTTACATGGTGATGAGTTGTCAATGTGGTCTAATTTGTGAGATAGCTACCTGAAGTCCTGCTCACCCAAAAACAAACCCTCAGACAAGGATTCATGAAGTGAGTGGTTTATTACTGAAATGATTCCAGGAGAAACCAGTACAGGAGGAATGGAAGCAGAATAAAGAAGGGAAAGAGCCCAAGCAATGCGCTGTCTCAGGTGAGGCCAAATGTGAAAACTCCGCTTGATCCTGCAAAGAATTCTGGATTATAAAGAGTGTCTCTGAGTTTTTCCCTTTTGAGGAGCTGGACCATTGCCCTCCTCTACCAATTAGTCACTGACTGTGGATTCCTTTGGAGAGGGTTTCCAGATTTAGGGAATAAAGATACAGGATGGATGCCCAGGTAAATGTGAATTTGAGATAAACAACTTTTTAAAAAGTTGACATCCGGAGAGCCTGGGTGGCTCAGTCGGTTCAGCGTCTGCCTTCAGCTCAGGTCGTGATCCCAGGGTCCTGGGATCGAGTCCCACACCGGGCTCCCTGCTCCGCGGGGGGCCTGCTTCTCCCTCTTCCTCTGCCTGCCGCTCTGCCTGCTTGTGCTCTCTCTCTCTCTCTCTCTCAAATAAATAAATAAAATCTTTAAAAAATAACTAAGTAGGTAAATAAATAAGTTGACCCCCGTGAAATGTTATTTTCATTTATATACTGTATAAATATTAGTATATTTTTATACTAAAAAGTATTCATTGTTTGAAATTCAAATTTAACTAGGAGTTCTGTATTTATTTGACACCTCTAACCATGAGGGTCAGGGGAGACCCACTCCAAAGCATACCTAAGCCCCTGTGCTAAAGGGCAAATCTTTGAAGGCCATAGGTGCAAGTCATTAGCGGGAAAGCACTCCGAAGCTGGACATGGGCACGCAGAGCTGGTATGAGTGATCTGACCGGATCTGGGTGGGACATCAACAATGTTCCCTAAGAAAACAAAGGAAAAATGGAACTTTGAAGTTGAAATTCACTCTGCTCAGTAAAAAATGGATGAAGGATGATGCTTTGTTTCTTAGCAGCATTTCTGTCATCACACTGGAGAATATGGCAAGCATATCAGATTCACAAGAGTGTTTACTTAGACTGTGACCATATCAGTGGGAGTAACATGAGGTCTGGAGTTGCCATACATGTCTTCAGCTAGAAACTTCTATTTATACCTCACATCATCCCTTTTTACTCATCCTTTGCCCACCATGCACACCTACCTTGATTGGGGTTCCCCCAGAACAGACCCTGAAATAAGGATTCAAGAGCAAGTAATTTATTTAGGATGTGGTTTTGGAAACCCAAGGGGAGTGGGGAAGTGATCCAGGGAACGAAAGGAAGCCAAAAAGGGGGTGTCATTAAGCCAGTTATCTCTGTGGGCAACCAGAGCTCAGCCTCAGTGGACAACTGTAGGAAACAGTGTACAACACACCTCAGAATTATCCAGTCATGAGACTGGGAATCTGGGGTATGTCTACACCAGCTCCCTGTTAATCACTGGTTGAGGACTTACTCTCGGGCACTAACTCTCTGGCACTTGGGACTTGTTCTGCACACAGGCACTCCATGCTCCGGTGATCCAAAAAAGTCTTTGGGCATAGGGTTGTGGCTGTTCCCAGTAAACAGGATTCTGCGGGTAGAATGTTAGGAGTTATAGAGACTTGGTAGTTCAGCCAGACTCCTGATGTTATACTTCGGTTGGATCACAGCTGGGTTCTTGACTTGCCTCATTCTTGTGGTCAAATGATTGTAAGCCCAAAGATACCTCCTTACCATCTTATCTGTTTCTCCAGTTGTTGCCCAAAGATTCACTGCCCTAACGTGTTCTGTTTCAGTGAACTAAATTTAACACATTTCTCTCCTCCAGTATAATAATTTTTTTTCCACTCAGGTGTATTATGTACTTTCTCAGGGTCACTAAGATACAATAATGGCCTTTCTTCTTCACTGAGGAGTAGAGGTATATGACTTGCTCATCTATGAGTTTTATTTATACAGATAAATTCAACACACGGTTCTGTCCACATTATTGACTTGGTACTGTATTCCAAATGGTAATTAAATATGGAAGTGTTTAGACAATGACATCATTCTACCCCTTCACGAACTTCTCAAACTTTGTCAGGGAAGACTGGGACAACCAAATAATTTCAAGACAATATTGTATCATGTTAAAAAGATGTTCTGTGGCTATGGAAAAACCAGAGAGAGGCGTTTATCCTTTCAGAGGATTCAGGGAAGCTTCATGGAGATGACCTCTAAGCAGTTTTAAGGGACAAGGAGGACTTGGCCAGGTGAACAAAGATAAGAATGAAACAGAGGAACAGAGCACAAGGAACAAGCAGGGGGAGGAGCAGA